CTCTCCGGTGTGACATAGATGCATGTTATCAGCTGCACAACTAAAGTGGAGAACAGACTGACACAGAGTGTAATAATCCACTTTCCCCCAAGAACTGAATGAAGCTGTGAAGGGGTAGTCTGGGATTTGCCAGTCCACATGCTACAGAACACCAATCACAGGATCACATAGGTTGGATAGGACCACAGTGGATCATCTGCTCCAGCAGGGTCTTCCTAGAACACATTGCACAAGATTGTGTCCAGATAGTTCTTGAGTATCTCAAATGAGGGAGACTCTGCAACCTCTCTGGGCAACCTGTTCTAGTGCTTGGTCACCCCCACAATAAAGAAGTTCATCCTCATAATCAGGTGGAACTTCCTGTGCATCAATTTCTGCCCACTGCTTCATGTCCTAGTGCTTGGCACCACCAAGAACAGTCTAGCTCCATCCTCTTGGCACCTCCCTCTTCAAATATTTACAGACATTGATGATGTCCCCTCTCAGTCTTGAGGCTTTTAAGAGGCCCAGTTCCCTCAGCCTTTCCTTCTAAGAGATACTCCAGTCCCTTAATCATCTGTATCACCCTCCACTGGACCTGCTCCAGGAGCTCCACGTGTCTCTTGTAATGAGGAGCACAGAATGTAAAGAAAACTTAAACTTCTGACACCGCTAAGACAAAACAGACCTAGGAGACATCCAGCATCAGTGCATGAGTCCTGCATAACTTAAGGGACATTCAAATACTAAAAGCAAGAAACTCAAAGCAGCCTTTGAATTGCTGGTTTTGTGAGCAAGATTATGGGAAGCCTTATAGCAAATAAAAAGCAACACAAGGGAAGAAAGGAGACATGAGCATTGCAATAGGGATGAAATCTGTATCCAACTGCTACTTTTTTGAAAATATAATAACCTCCTCCTGTGTGGAAAATGGTAGTGACACTGATAAGCAGATGGATGAGGAAATGAACTACAAAGTTCTCTGTAGACTTAGGAGTATAAACATCTAATAGAGATTGGATACCTAGATGGACACAATGTTTTTCTCTATTCTTACCCAGGAAAGTCAGCCTCATTACACTCTGGAAAATGTACCAAGGTAGACGTAACCAAACAGGGCATTTGTAGCATCCAAATCATGTTAGAAACCTGTTAAACCTTCATCATTACTACCTAACAGAGAATAGGACGCTCAAGTCTTCTGGACTGGGGTTCTAGAAAGCCTTTTTTGAGAAATCAGGGCACAAATGGATGTTTATTCACCACTACTGCATCAGTTGCTAAAGACTGCACTGGTAAGAAAAAGGGTGATGAGTGAAAGGGGAATGTTTGCCTGAAGCAGGAGGATAAACATGGCCAGGACATCACCCTTCACTCCCTCCCCTCTGCTTCTTCAAAACTCAAGACCAGTGTGGGAGTCCTAGTGAATAGGGTCATTCAAGGACCTCAGCTCTCCCTGTCAATCCTGACCAATACATGCCTGCTTCTATTCCTGAAGCACACATTGCCCTCATGCAGCCTCAGGATTGGATTCTCTAGAAGTTTGCTGTAGCTGGGACATTAGAAGAGCTGCCCATAGGAAAAAACCCGTTGGCTCTCACCTGGGGTCTCTGCTTCTTTGTGCTGGTGTCAGATTGCTTCTTGGTCTTCTCCTCTTTGAGGAGACGGCGCCTGCGTAGCTCTGCACTCACTGACACTTCCAAAAATGCTACCTGCTGCAGTGCCACCTGTCCCACAAGGGCCACCAGGTGCAGCAGCAGGAATGTGGAGAGACTGCCAGCGCCATCAGAGACTCTGTGTGGAGAATCCCCTGCATCTAAAGGAGAGAAATGGCCACAGTTCAGTGTTGATTTAGACCTCCTCCCGTTAGTTAGCGCCACATGTCACCATATAACCCATCTTCACACTCCACAGATTCCTTCACAGCACTTGTGCCTTCCCATGCCAACACCAGCCCCTCAGCTCTGTTCTCCTGCAGTTACTCAAGGCCGCTCAAAGCAGCACTGGAAACCATAGGTACAGAATTCCTTCATCAGCTTTCTTCCTCACCAGCTTTCTCCTCATCAGCCTCCTGCAGCTTCTCCAGAGCTTGCTGACTGCACACATGCAGGATGTCAGCACAGATCTCCTCTGCCCCTTCTGCCAGCTGGTAGATGAGTGTTACAGCTGCCTCCATGAAGGGGATCCAGTGGCAGCTTGGCTGGGCAAAGCCTGATGAGAAGAGGGAGCAATGTACCCACACATACCAATGATAACACAGGTGGTCTCACAGCCCAACCCCATCTCCTCCAAACCTCCTGCTGACCTGAACTCACCTTTACTCACAGTCTCACTCAGGCAACCAAAGAGCATGTGGTTCTGTGGCAGTCGAAAAGGGGCATTGCTCTTCTCCAGTGCTGGCTGCAGAGACAACAGGCGAGTTACTCCCATGGGAGCAGCACATGAGTTCCCCCCATGCCCTTCCCAGTACTCAACATTCCTGTGTGCACAGTGTTAATCAAACACATGCCAGGGACATCCAGTACTGCTCTGCAGCTAAACATACAGCAGAGACATTACTGTCACTTATAACAGCATGGTAACTACACTGGGTGGATTTAAAGCTTGGCTAAATTATGATCCCAGGCCAACCCAGACAGTTCCACCATCTCACCTTAAATCGAAATAACTCTTTTGAAATGTCAAAAGGATTCATTTAAAATCTGATATTATTTACTCACTCTCTACAATAAATAAAGAGGGAAACCACTGGAGCATCTTAGAGTCACCAACAGTAAGTCAACTTGTCTTGGGGTACTCCAGAACCATATGGGTTTCTTTACAAGGAAAATATCATCAGTGGAAATAACACAGGATAGGTCTGGATTCAAGACTACTCACAATTAGGTTGTTGCATATATTCTGTATCAGTCACACCACCTTTTAGATTGGGAATAAGATAACTTAGAGAACTACTAAACCAAGTATGACAATACCTGAGGTGTCCCAGCACAGCTGTATCTGCCTGATGAATATATACTTGAACAAAACAGAATTACTTGAGGATTTACCAGCTTTCAGTAGCTTGAAACAGGAACTCCTGATTCACCACAATCCTGTCCTCTGTACTAAATTTCTGGTTGGGAGGGTGGATTGGGGAGAAGAGCTACTGCCAGTCAGTCAGCCAAATATTTTCAGTTCAGTCCCTTTTCACATACAAGCTTAACTACAGACTTTAGTCAACCAAATATTGAATTACAGCCATCTTTAGAACATGTAAGAAAATTGTGATACACATTAATTCATTAAGTTCATGCAACAACATCCCCAGTGGAAGGGGCTGTCACAGAATTATGCTGCTCTGTAAAGGAGGACTGCTTTTGTGATAGAACTCCTGAACCAAAATGCCCCAAATGACTGAGTCAAAAAAGCTGATTTTTTTTTTCCAAGTGTATTAAAAAAAGGATAAATTATTTCCCAGGGAAAGAAGCCGTTAACCATAATGTTGTTCTAAGTACAACATGGACAGGTTTGAAAGCCTTTCATGTTTTATATTCTGCTGTACAGCTGACAACTCCTGAATATCAATTAATAGGATGGGCAAAAGAATCACACCACCAGAAAACATTGGTAGAGGAAAGGGCTTCATGGTTGAGAAAACACAAATCAGTTTAGAATTAGGAGTCTGAAGAAGAGAATTGAAAGGAAAACATATTTTCTTGTGCACTGAACTCTTTACTAATTGAATTCAGCCGGTTGCCTAATGAAAATTCTTTTATTACATGTTCACTGATGTGTGCTAAGCTTTCCAGACAGTGCTGCTGAATGCTCTCAACCTACTTAATTTCAAAATCTGTAAAAATTTAATTACCTCTCTCTATTCTTCCATGCAAACAATTTCTCCCCTTTCTTTGTTTCTGGATGACCTCAAGAACAATCCCATAGCCTTACCTTAGGGTTACTGGCAAGCTTGGAAATAACATTGCACACTTCTTGAGGCAGCCTGTAGTCTTCACACGCCTTCTCAGACAGCCCCATTGTCACCAAGATGTCCAGGTTGCTACCTATGATCTCTGGCTTTCCTCTGTGGAATGGGAGATATCACATGAGGTGCTGCTGAAAGTTTACACAAGTATGGATAGCCAAGAGAAATACTCCTTGCGCCTTGTGGAAAGGAGTGGTTTGAATAAGAGGGGAAAAAAATAAAGCCCATCCAAATGACTCAAGATACAGCTAGAGGAGCAGCAAGCAGTATTCCACAGAAGCCAGTGTAGTACACTTTCCACTAGAAGATGAGTTTCTCCAAAGTGATCAACAGCCTCTTTGTAAAAAAAGAAGATTCTTGACTCTTCTTTCCTATCAGAAAGGACCAAAACTTACAGGGGTAAGAAAAACAAAAATGTTGGAAAATAGGAAAGAGTAGAGGAGCTCAGGAAATATGACCTAAGGAATATACCATTCCTTCCTCTACTGTAGGAAACAAAACAAACCAAACCAACATTTATCCAAAACCAGCCTATCCCAAATCCACACCCACTGTTCCCCTTTCTGCCTGTGAAAGAATTTTAGGATTATCATTAAGCAGGCCTGTTTCTGAGTAATGAAGGACTGAAGTAAGAACAGCAAAAAGAGCAAGTAAGTTGAATGCTGGGCTGGAAAACTGAGGAAGTGAAAACCTTTTAGTGCAGATACATTGTTTTTTTGCCCCCAGAGAGTGAAACAGATGCATTTTTCTTCATGCTAAAGGCTCCAGACATCTCTACTCAGCAGCTTCTCACTGTTCTTATCCAAACACAGACAAAACTGCAGAGTTGTGACACTGTAAACTCTGTGAAGGGATGTGCATTCACACAAGGAAAATAATTTCATCATAATCATTCAGAGGCCATGCTGGTGGGATCCAGCACAACTATGTTTAGTTCCAGGCTTCATTACCCCATGATAGCGTTACTATTTTTGAAGCTAGAGCCAAAGAGTCAGCTGATGCAGCACCCACAGTTCTTCAATAAAAATCGACTCCCTGTACATCCTTCCACTCACAGGCTTCGACCTGGCCCCGGGCTCACCGTGCCATCATGCCCAGCAGCATCACAGCAGCGCGGCGTTCCAGCGATGAGCATGGAGACTTTTCCGTGAATCGCTCCCAAAGCAGCTGGGTCACAGCAGGCTTTATTTCATCTTTCTGCACAAACTCTGAGATCTGCAAAAGGAATGCAATTTAAAAATCAGAGAGAGGCAAAGGAGAATGAACTTCAAAGTAAAGACGTAATCTACAATGACTACCATTTGAATAAAACAGATACACAACCCAAAGCCAGGCAAGGCAAGTACTCACTATTTCCTCTAAGCACTGTATCGTTCCCAGGGATGCATCCACCATGATGAGAGAGAGAGAGTGCACCAGGGCCTGTGCCTTGGCCCTTAGAAAGGGGAAAAATAACAAAAAAAAATGTAAAAGGTAAAGTAAAAGCAACTGTCACAATTGCTGCCCTATTGAAAGAGCTGAAAACATTTTCTTGGATAAGAGAGATGATCCACAGGATCAGGAAAACTCCCACAACAAGCTTGAGTTCTCAAAGTCACCCAAGTGCCAATGGCCATGATGCGTGATAAGTTCATTGCCTCGTGTGCTGGTGCTCCTTATGATGTTTAAAGATCTAATCAGAGGCACTAAGCAGCCACTTCCCAGTTTATTCTCCACCACAAGTCAAAGTAAAATTCCCTAGAAACTGCAAATCTCTCTATGAACAAATGAAGATGGAGCACTGTAGAAGTGCTGTTTCCAGGCAATATTATCAGATAGAAATAAGAAGCAGCACATGCTCTTTATTGCCCTGATGGTACAAATGAGGGTGAGTTATGGTGCATCTCACCAGGAATCACACTTATTGCACGAGTATCCAATGGGATTTACAAGTGGGTAAGCACCAAAAAAGGGCAAGTGCCACAGCAGGGAGGAGACACATCTCTTTTCTAGTATGGAAGAAGCAAACTTGCAAGTGGTAGCAAGCTCCCACCACCAAATCCTCAAGGAGGAACAGCAATAAAGACCCTTTAAAATCCTCCCATCTAAGACATGTAGAAATTGTTAGAAAAAGATTTAAGATTGGTCTGACTGAAATACTAATAGAAATATATGCGAAAGCACCCAAATAAGAACCAACCTTGTATAGTGTGAAGGACAAAGAAATGGGGAATGTGTTGGGTACATCAGAAGTAGAATGCCTACGCGTGACACGCCACACCATGTATAACTTGTCAGCAAAAAAACCTGAGGTTTGGTAACAGAAATATATAGTTTCAATCTGAGACCACACTGTTCCTCTTGTTATTCCAGCAGGATGAACAACTACAGTTATAAGAAACTCAAAATGGGACAACTGACATTGGCCAACAACTTTGTCCACAGAGTGAAGTATATAAAACTCCTGGACATGGGATGACTCCATACCAACAGGTGACTCACAATGGGCTGAAATTCATTGTTGCCAATCAAGAACCCTGCTGGCAAGAGAAACACTCATAATTAACACTTCTTGTTCCTTAGCAGATAGGGACCCTACCCAGACTATTTAGGCAATGCTTTGTATGCAAGTGAAATTTATGAGAACAATAAATATTAGTGCCTGACAACAGTTTAACTTCAAGTAATTCTCAACATCTGCTTCGCAAGGTCTCACAGAGTTTTGCTGCATGAATTTCCTACACATGAGCTCTATGACAAACCAAGAACAGATCAGCAGTAGGTTCTGCAGGAAGACTGGGATACTCAGACAATAACTTTATGTTTCAGCTCAGTCTCAGGTCTTCTCCAGGCCATACCCCATTCCCAACAGCAGAAAGGGGATGGGGGGAGGGAAAGGAAAAAAAAATCTGATTAGGAAGATCCATACCTCTCTGAATCCTCGCTGGGGCTCAGATAGAGCTGTCTGTAGGCATTCAGCACGGCCTCCTTAATTCCAGGCTCCTTTGACCATATGAGGGGCAGCATCCTGCGGACACCAAGCAGTGCCTGGGGCACGCCAAACTGTGAGACTGTCACGAAGAACTCAATGGCTTCCTGCACCACTGCAGAAAGAACAGTTGCGATAGTGCAGTTCTTCCCCAGTTCCCATTAAAGAGGCCATTAAAACAAATTCATAGGAGTGCTGGTCTCAGAACAAGCTTTACAAGCATCTAGAGATCACTGCTATTGTCTGCAGAGGGCTTGAGTCAGAATGGGATCACTAGTACAAAGACGTAGATGTCCCAGAAAAGAGACATAAATTAACAATGTTACAGCTAAATCCAATGTGATATGGTTAGGGAAAGAGCACAGAGACTATCTTGGAGAAAAAACAAAATTACCTTCTGGGAAACAGTAGCTTTGAGGAAAAAGATCTCACAGTCACAGCAGACAGCTGTATATAAGCCCCAGTGCAATGCCATAACCAGAGGTACTAAGCTATTTGATGTACAAATGGGGTAAGGAATACTGTGTTTGGTTCCAGTTTGACTACTCCTGAAATAGATTGCCCAGGCTTCTCATAAGACAAAAAAACCCCAAACCCATTAAGTTAGAGCACATCACAAGACATCTACAGCAGTGATCAGAGTTGTGCTGCAACAAACAGTTCATAGAGTCTGACCTCTGGTTAAGTAAGAGCTTTTACCAGTATAAGCCCTTACAAATCAGAATTAAGAATATCTAACAGGTGAGCTGGTATGCTTTCCCTGTCCCCACTCACACATAGAATACATAAATTTGCAACAGAAAAAAAATTTAAATCTTCAAATATTAAATCTTTAATTTAAAAAGCCTAAATCTGAGCACACACATCCCTTAGCATGAGTCCCTTCCTTACCCAGCAGCATACTCTCTCCAAATGGAGGGAATGTCTCAAAACACCTCTGCTATTCAGACACTGAATTTGGCTTCCTTATACTACAGCACAGGAGAACAGGGAGATGAAAAGTTATTAAAATTTGTGCATCCATTAAAAAAACATCCCCAAAATCAAGCCCCATGTGTTTAAGTACCAGGTAGGAGAATTTCTTGTCCTTGAACTTCAAAGGACTTGTAAACACACTGAACCCAGGAGTTCATTTTCATGTGTGCAAATAGCTAATGACACCAAACCTTGCTGGGGAAGCCCACATGCTTATCTCAAGTAACATGAGCCCTCAACAGAGATGAAGCCTCAGAAGTGTTTGCATGAAGTCTGGGGCACGGCAGTGCCCACACCCATCCATACCCTAGATCTGTGCAAGTGGATGTGCTGGAGAGGATGGGAGCAGGACTTGTGCCCCTCATCCCTTGGAAATGTTAATTTCTGATAACACTACAAAAAAGTCTAAGTGATTACAAGAGTTCTAATATGATATATGAACAGCTGAATTAACTCAAAGGCCTTCTGATCACCACCTTTCTCTATAGCACTGAAGAGAACCAGGCTACAGAAGCTGTTGATCAGGCTCATGTTTAACTAGAGAATAAAGTTTGAGGAAAGGTGAGTTAGAAGAGACCAGCTGCTTAGTTCCCCTCTTGTGGCCAGCATAACAGCTGAAGCTGTGTCAGGGCACTGAACACATAACCAAACCCAGCTTCACTGGCCAGGCTTACTTTAGGAGAACCTCAACTCAGATGATGAACATCCATGCCTCCCCACAGGAGGCAGGATAGCTTCCACAAATGAACTCACTTTGGCCACCTTTTTTTTTAATTTCAGAAAGTTCAAATACATTTCATTTCATATCTTTTTAAAAACAACTTTTAAACATATTAAAACAATCTTTTTCAACCTTGGTATTAAAAAAAATAGACATTAAATAAATAAATATTCCTAAAAAGCCTCTTCATGCCCTATTCTACTCCTTCATGACACTCATTTAGAGGGTGCTTGCTTTTCCAATACCCTAGAAGTGTCTATGACATCTGCTCAATGAAGAGCAGCTCCTTCAATCTTTTCTCCTTCTCCTGGAGTTCTACCACTCCAGCATTTTCTCTCAAGCAAGGAAAGATCTAGAAATGCTGAATGGAGAAAAAAGGTTATTTCACGTACCTGAGACAGAATTTTCATACATCATCCTGCTGATCAGGTTCAGAGCTTCTGAGATTTTCACTGAGAAGTTGTAAGCATCTTGCAGGTAGTGCACCAACATCTCCTGTTTGACCAGCTCTGTTTGAGGCTGCTCTTCCTGTACAACTTCTTCAATCTTGTCACTGCTGTTGTCATGTGGAGGATCCTCACTGTTCTCACCACCTGGGCATGAACCTACAAAGCACACTTATTTGTGAGCAGTACTGAAGATACAAGAAATACAGGCACAGTTCAGGGCATTTTAATCCTCCTCTCCCCATCCCCACAGTGACACCTTCCAAGAGCCAGGACACAAAAATCCAAATTCTGCAATCAGATGTAGCTACAAAATCTTGGCATGCTGTGGAGCAAGTTCCAGTACTACAGTGTGATGCTCCAGAGAACTGCCAGCTTGGTAGAAGGGTATGGAAGGGCATGGTCCAGTTGGGATAAACACCATTAAATGCTGATTGGGTTTATCTGAACTTGGTAATTCCCCAAACATAGATGGGGGACCTAAAAGGAAACCAAGAGAAGGCAAACACTACTACTCCACAGCAAAGTTTGTGCAAGTGTGGAGAGTTCACAAAGTAAAGATTTTTAGACAGTAGACTTCCAACAAAAATATCCTCAACATGATTGGCTAAACAACTTGATGCAGAAACAAACACCAAAGAGCGTGAAGTCTTGAAAATACACCCAGAGGCTCAGGCCCCAGATAACCAAGACTCTGCTTGAACCAGATACTTGGTCAAGGCTGCTAGGGGTAAGCATTATGTACCACTACCTGCTCAGGAAGCAGAACTCCTGACAAATTCAGACAGGGCAGAAGGGTGTGAGCAGCAACACTGCCTTCACTTCCTTCAGACAATATGTGAGTTAAGGCACCAAAAATGCACTTCTACTGGGACCATGGAACTGTTCCAGCCAAAAATTAAGATCAGTATGATCCAGCTAAAATGCCAAGGTACTTGAACAGTGAATAATACAGTGATGCTGCAGTTCTGGGAGAGCTGAGCCCCAGAGGTCAGAAAGAGGGACAGAGCATTCCAGAGGGCTTTAATCTGCTCTGGCATTATCTTGGACTTGGGGTACAGACAGAGTGATACAGTTACCTATGTAAAGTCTCTTCAGAACAGCCAGGATTGTTGCCTCCTCGTTTTCCTCCCCAGGGCTAATGAAAGGTTCCTTTCCCTGGAAGCGACACAGGGCCTTCTGTGTAAGACAGGCTGCGCTCCTGGACAATGACATTGC